GGAACTCACAACAATGTTTTGTAAAGTAGAAGCGATTCTCAACTCGCGGCCGCTTTGTCCGTTACCAGCTAGTGATAATCCTGATGAGTTCAACGTTTTGACTGCGGGACACTTTCTAATTGGAAAAGGGTTAACAGCAGTACCTGAGTATAATGTAGAGGATATAACAATAAATCGATTATCACGTTGGCAATATATTCAAAAATGTTCACAAATGTTTTGGCGTAGATGGAGTCACGAATATCTAAATACGCTGCAACAGAAAGCAAAGTGGCATTCGGATAGATCTAATATAAAAATAGGTGATCTCGTAATCATAAAAACTGATAATGTACCGCCGTGCAATTGGCCTTTGGGTAGAATTGAGGCTCTTCACCCCGGTCCAGATGGGATTGTTCGTTGTGTTACGCTTCGCACTCAAAAGAGTACTCTACAGAGACCAGTTAATAAACTGAGTCCTCTACCTTATTCAAATTAGTTTTTACGTGTATTAATATTTTTTTTTCTCGTTGAGGACATTCTGTGTCTCAGCGTTATTTTGCATGTTCCGTAGCTTAAGTTATAATATTTTCTCTAATATCTTTTTCATATAGTTAGGAGAAACCATCAAGATGGTTTCGGTGGGGGGTGTGTTCAGTAATAAACCGCAACTCACAAAATTTATACCGAGGCACAATGATCTGCTACGATCGGAGCGCCGGTCACACCTAGTGGCAACATTGCGACGTAATATGCGTTGTAATAATCTGTGGAGTTAAAAAAAAAGAGAAGAGGAGGGTAGGAGGCGAGACAAGCCATACACATTCTCTTTGTGTTCGTGATGTGAACATCTCTCCAAAAACTTAAAAAAAGGGACTACTCCAGAGTGTACCGTGTACAATCTAATTGCTAGTGTATTCTACCGTGTAGAAGAAGCTACCAGGAGCTGTCAACGTTTGCTGATCTTGGGAGGCTGGCTAGTAAGACCGTGAGTAGTTTGTTGCTGTTTTTGGTGTGATTTTGTGACTGCGGTAACTGAACGTTTCAGGGGATTTAGATTCTCAATACAGTCCACTATATCTAGTAAAATAATCCCAATCCGCCACATATATAGTCTTTGAATATCTTAAATTTAAATAATGCTACATTAGCAGAACCTACCCATGCGAAGCTGAGAGGACACGCTAGTTAATAAATAAAAAATTCAGTAAATATTCTAACTAAATGTTATTATTTACCTTATACTTAATGAAATAAATATAAAATTGAGTACACTTGTTGTAAATATAAATACAAACATATTTACTTAATTAAATTATCTGGCATGATCAGCAAACAAGCTGCCAACTCTCGCAAGATGTCAAATATCACTTCACGTGTTTAGTTTATTCAAGATGGAAAAATTTGCCTTTTGACTGACAAAATTGTTGATGGAATGCACTTTATTAACCCTCACCTAATAAAAACCTAACACCCACCAAGTTGCCTTCAATCATTCGAAGGTGGGAAATTTATAGAGATATATTATTATGTTGTTATATAAAACATCATGAAGATCAGACAGTCTGCGGCCCTGTAATGAAGGTACCCAACTTGGGCAAAGCTACTTAGGTTGTGTGTCAAACCAAGACGCAAAAAGTGCCATTGAGAATAGCGACCCGCCAAATAACCATTGCAGAGACGGAATGCTGCAGAACGCAACAAGCAACAATATGACTATCGTCGGGCTTACACCATCCCAAGGTCCCCCATACAATCCCAGCAGACATCATCCGGCGCAGAACGATTCGAATCGTTGACAATTTTGTTCTTTCTGATCGGCTCGATTCTCAGGCGCTGCGTAGGGATGTTGCATTTTGCATTTTCTATCGCATCTACCAGAGGTTGTGCTCTGAAGAATTGTTCGGTGAACGCACATCACATCAAAATTCAAGATACCATCCTCACCATCTGGATGCTTGGGGGTCCGCCACTGTGCGTTTCAAATTAGTTTTCTTCCTCGTACAACTTCTCTGTATAATTGTTTACCACCGGCGAGTTTTCCGGACCGATACGACTTAGGGACCTTCAAGATAAGAGCTTTCTAAAACGCACCTGTAATTTGCATGGTGTTGCAGTTGTTCATGGGCAGCGGTAGTCACTTACCATCAGATGAGCCGCATGCTCGTTTGCCCCCTCTTCTTTTAAAAATAACACCTTTGTCGTCTGATATGCCCAAACAAGCATTCCTATAAATAATTTTAGTATGTGCAATTTTAGTGTGTCCACGAAGATTATTTCTGATACGCGAGGATAAGGTTGGTTATCCCGGAATAATTTCAAGGTTGTCGGATTAACTAGCCTTATGCTACCTGGGTTGATGGTTAGCAGCCTCGGAATCGAATAGATTTATTTTCAAATTTAGTTTCTGCACTCGTTTTTATAAATCACATTTATTACTGTTATGTGTAACATTATGCTATCGATGGGTTTACACTTGAAACTTGATTTCATCGAGTAGGTATTTAAAAATCGTTCGCAATATTGGTTCAAAGCAAACAAATATACGTGCTAGAGCCATTGCACACGCCTCTAGCTGCCCCAACAAAGGTTGACGGGACTAGGGCCCATGAGTAATCCCATCGACGGGCAGCAGAGGGACGGGGCCCAACGGCCTGGTGGAAGAATTTCCTATAATACTAAGCTATATGGGAGAAGGCTAGGGAAATATAGTACTTACCTGTTTCCGACTCTTAGATCGCCCCAAAGCTCGGTCAGGCCTTAAGTGGGTGTGAGGTGCATGGCAAGTAGTGTTTAGTGATGTGTAAATGTCTGAGACCTGGACCAGCTTAGGCGACCAGCAGCGGCCGAGTTCCAGGCTGCCGCACAATGTCACTATTTCAGTCTATTAGCTTCATTGTACATTTAACTAACTTAAACTCGCCTAATTCCACATTCATCGTAGAATCTAACACGTGATACCCGACACAGTAAGGACAGTAGTTCAAAATTTGACTTTCAATGTCCCGGATTCACTTATCACAAAATTATAAATAGGGAACTAACGCGATCTTTTAATGAGTCATACGGTTCAGCGTTAAACACAACTAAGTTTAGTTTCCTTCATTCGACACCAAAACACCACGTCGCGAAAAGAATTCAAAATACGCCTCGTTGACACGTAAACTAACAAACTAACCAACACACAAAAAAAGGCGCTTCACGCGACGGCACAATTATAATGATTTCCAGACAATCAACCGGGAGACGCTCTCGACCAAGGAATGCGCGGTTCGAATCCTATACCGTATATCTACTCGGCGCGCGCGTGCACAATTCCGCATCACCCGAACAAGTTAAATATTGCAACATTCACATCGCGGCCAGCGAACTACCGCTTCTTCGCCCACGCGTCGAGCCACTGCAAGCCGCACACGGCCGCCCCACCTGGTGGCGTTTGTTTCACCTACATACCATCGGGTGACGCGCCAGCTCGAACACAATTGGATGGCGTTCAAAAAGGACCAAATTTGGGCATAAACAGCCATGCTGCAGTTATATTAATAGTATAGTTGTAGCACGAATGGGTCGGCTCGACCGGGGAAGGGCCACGCTCTCACAGAATACTAGCGTAAATTAGCAGCTTAATACTGCTGTGTTTCGTATGGTGTTAGTAGAGAACCTTTTTACTGGAAAAGAGGCATTCTACATTCGCAAACGTGGATATCTATGGGCCACAGCAACCACTTACCATCAGGTGGAATGTGTGCTCGTTTGTCACCCGTATACTATAAAAAAAATCCGTCGTATGAATCCATTTCTAATCTAATTAATTAAAAATATAACTACATACATACATACATATAATCACGCCTCTTTCCCGTAGGGGTAGGCAGAGACCACTTCTTTCCACTTGCTACGATCCTTACATACTTGTTTCGCTTCGTCCAGTTTCATTATTCCCTTCATACATGCTCTTCGTTTTAGGGTACTCTTGACCTGGCCTTTTTTCAAGATGTCCCTGATTTGACCTAAAAACGTCCGCCTAGGTCTACCCCTTCCAACATTTTCATTCACACTCGCCTTATACACCTTTTTGGTCAATCGTTCTTCATTCATTCTCTCGACATGGCCAAACCATCTCAGCATACCTTTCTCAATTTTTGTCGCTACATCTTCTTTCAGACCACAACGTTTCTTTATCACACTATTTCTTATCCTGTCACTCAGTTTAACTCCTATCACACATCTTAATGCTCTCATCTCAACTGCATTTATAATTGCTTTCATATTTCTTCTGCCATACCCAACTTTCACTTCCGTACATGAGCGTTGGAACCAACACCCCCTCATGTATAGCCAACGAGCCTTGTTAGACACCTTCCGACTGCTCATAAAGAGTGCAAAGCTCCATTCACCATGTTTCCTACATTGACTCTTCTTTCGATATCACTCTCACACTTTCCAGAAATAAACATGAATCCTTATAATTTCCTAAATTAACTTCCCCGTTATGAAATCTGTCAAATATTACACCTCATTCCAAAGTGGCGTAACCCTAGTGGCAGAAAAATTCGTGGATGTCTTCATTATCAAATCGCGTAAACTCATTGAAAAAAATATTTAATGAATTTCTTATATTTACAATACCACACACGAAATTAAACTAATCTTACGAATTTTATCTCGTTTAGTTACAGTAGCACCCATTTATCTTCTCTATTGACGTCAAACAACTCAGTACCTCCTATGACTATGGGTGCTGTAAAGCATTCGATACGCAACACAATCCGTAAAATTGGTTTCACTTAACATTCATAAAATATTACGCAATTCCAAATATAAGTATGTTACGAATACCATTACGAAATAAATCGAAAATTGCCCCAAATTACGTATCTATGTCGACTTATGCGATACATAAAATTATTGATGAGGCTTTCCGCTTAAAAGCTCGTCGAGGCTTATTACAGTTTTCATGTTTGTTCCAGATTGGCCGCTACTGCGAGCGACGGGGCGCGTTGATGGCGCGGTGACGCAGTATGCGCCGCGTGCCCATTGCCGCTTTACTGCGGCTACTATTTATCGCAGGTAGTACAAAAGCCGCAATGTAACCAATGTATTTTATAATTACGAATAAGGTTATCGCCTTGTCACATTTTTAGTGAAGTGCCGTGAAATTACGCGTTATGTAAATTTTACGCAGGTGATACTTATTTTGGTTTGTTTTTGTTTTTATTTATTACAGCTTATAAAAATCTTAAAATCCACTGTTGAAGACCCTTCTCCATAGATTGCTGCCTAATAAACAGCTTGTTTATATAACTTTCAATTGTTATCTGGAAGATGCTGTTGCCTATCTTCTGTTTCAATTTCCCTCTGTCTCATCATACGTCACCCACGGAACGATAAGGTATAGTAGATATTCTCACACCGCTACATGGTCCTTAAAATTAAATTATACTGTTTTCCAAGCATTTACATTCTGTAAAAAATATGGTACTACCGAAAAAAAAAACATGTTTTAATTTAATATTTAATATTGAATAAAACTACTTTTATAGATTCATTCGCGTTTAATTAACTTGTTTTTATTGACACCCGACGTTTCGGGTACTTTACAGCACTCATGGTCACGGGGGACTGCGGTGATTGACGTTCCGATGTCAGAGTTAACCCGGAGTACCTTCAGCTTTTTTAATTATTAATTTTGGTCCAATCTACGCAGAATGAACTTACTGTGTCTTGAAGTCTTGCAGTGGTATGCTTGGGTTTAGTTTTAATTTTATTAATTACAGGATCTCAAGCAGGTGGTAGTAGCCAGCCTTCCTTTCTATTGAAATTAGGATGCTTTTTTAATTTCAATAGCCTCACGCATTATCCGAAATATCGGGAATCAATAAAAAACAAGTTAATTAAACGTAATAGAGTATGTAACAGTAGTTTTATTCAATGTGTAGTGTTCGAGGAAATATAAGAAATCAGTAATATTTCTTATTTTAAAGTAATATATTTCATACTTTAAAATAAATCAGTTTCGTCTACTTTAGAATATACATATTTATTTATCATAATATAGTAGGATAACATTTTATTTAGCAAGGATTGGCAGCCCTATACCTCAAGTCGTTTCATCAACCCTAACCGACATAAAAAAATATAAAAGCTTAAAAGTAGCTGCGCGTTCAACATACCTTTTGAAAGATCGCCACTCAGGACAATGTGATTTAAAAATATTTGTCTGTTATTCACGCCAAATGCTCCTCCCATCTGCACGCTCGTCGTTTAGTTTTGGCCAGTTCGAGTGGAAAACCTTCGGCGCTACTTGGTGGCCTAGCAGCCAGTTCGACATTTATTTTGAGTCGTCACATAATTTTTATACTTGTTCATATTTTAAAAAATGTCATTACCTTCACACTAGGATTTTCTCCTGTATCATGGGGGCAGTTTTATAGCACAACCATGGATAATAGCCTTAGTTAAAATTCAAAGAAAAAAAGGCTTTTCTTATAAAAAAATTAATAGAATCTTAAAGTTGCTATCTCTCTCTCTCTCTCTCTCTCTCTCTCTCTCTCTCTCTCTCTCTCTCTCTGTCTCTCTCTCGCCCCGACAGGAAGAGAAATAATTAATATTTAAGTAAGCGATAATAAACGAACAAAAGTAAGGCTGTGGTTGTATACCTTCGCTTATATGTAACTTTTATATCGTAGGTACGTAGAGTGTCATCCTTAAATACATCATAAAAGCGGGAGATCCGTCTTATGGGTATGGCAACTTTATGTACATTTCACTCATATTTTATATGAATTTTTTTTATGGATACACATAACCCTGCTTTTAGAACGAAATTATGATAATGTTTTACATTATACAAGATTAAGTGTTTATGGTGCAATGCTGTCCAAGTTTATTACAAAATAAAACAAAAGGTTTTCCTTTCCTGACTAGAAGTTCACCAGGGTAGGTACCACCCTCTAATCTATTTCTGCCGCCAAATAATAGTGCTTGCACTACTGTATTCTGGTCTGAAAACATTTCTAAGTAGAATCTAATTCAAATCATGAAATAGGTTCATCAATTATTTAATCCATAGTCTCCGTAAGAATAGGGCTATTTTGGTAGATGCAGTAGATACATTTATTCTGGAAAACAGACCTGTCACCCGAACGAGATTGCCGGCCCATTAGAAACTAATCAATAAGCTTAGTGGCCTATTAACTACCAGTACAACATAATCTCTTAATAATAACAAGGATAAATTTCAGGTTATATCACTGATGATGACAATATTGTTTGCTGTGTTTCATTATTTTATCTTTTAATTAATTACAGAAGTCTTCTTAAAAGTCTATTGTTGGACATAGGCCACCACCATATCTGCATTGCCATGCTTGGCTCACAGTGCGGAATACCTATTCCACACTGTGGGCGTCTTAAAATGTCTATAGACCCTATAGAATCTCATTCACCACGGTACGGGGCACACGGTCCACGGCACACGGAATTCGAAACACTAGCGACGGAACATACCATAAGCACATGGCATATGGCACTAAAATATTTGTATATGACCCCTTAAAAAGCATTTTCCTGATATTTCTCTGTAGATTTTAATAGTCTTTAAGCATGAAATTAATATAATATACGAATTGAACATCAATTTTTTTTTAAATAATAATAATAAATTGGTATTTATTTTCTCCCACATTTTATGATCATCACAATACATCATAATAAACTAAGTAACAATGAACTAGACAATAACATAATAACAACTAAATAACAGCTGTAAATCTATAATATAAAAATGAATCGCTTAATGTGCTGCTAAGCGCAAATCTCGAGAGCAACTGAACCGATTTCGCTAATTCTTTTTTTATAATATTCCTTGAAGTACGAAGATGGTTCCTACGGAGAGAAATTTTTAAAAAATGCCTTTGATCTTTAATACCATACCATAAAGTTTAAGTGTTAGTGGAAGGGTTCCGGGAAGGCAAAACAATTGAGTGACGTTAGTATAGTATAAATATTAATGTCAATATTTTTCAATATTTATACAAACTGGCAGATAGCTGATGTTATAAGGAGTAACTTCGGCTGCTTTTATTTTAGGGTTCCACAAAAAAAATATCCACGCGGGTGAAGTCGCGGGGAACAGCTAGTATTACATAATAAGATCTAGGTGGGACACTGGTGCCCAAACTAGGTTGCCCTATGCTAGGGGTCACCAGGCCCCTCCCTCAACAGAAGTGATATTGCTGTAAAGCACTTAATAATCAATACAGCTCTACGTGTAATAAAAATACTTTAAAATATAAAAATTACATTAGAGGTTCTGCCTTCAGATGCTAACACGACCAAGTTGTTAGATGAGCTCACTCTCGACCTGGCCTTGTAAGACTGGCCGTGCGAGAAGCAAGCCCCTCTAAGATTAATTCCTGCTGTTTTCAGTGAATGAACCTGAGACTTACTGATCGTCTTTGCGAAACAGACCATAAGGCGGAATTGCAATCTTTTAAATTCGAATGGGTACTCCGTTGGTATAAGTGGTATCCGCGGTATATACACCGATTCACCTCAAGCACAGCCAGTAAATATAATGGCCTCTACTACGATTTTGTGTAAGGTTTTCACATGCAACCTGGTCTCATTGCACAACTTAGGTGGATTGATGTTTCTCAGTAGCATTACTGAAACTCCCACATTGAGGATAAGTGTGTGAGACGGTAGACCAGGTGGGTTGAGTGTATTTAGGAACTCTACAGGATAGTGTGTAGCATCATCCGTATGCACAACAGTGTCCACAGATTTGCACCGGTATTCTTCACCTTCGAACAACTTCAACAAAGTGTCATTAATGATGAAAGCCTGATCGTTCTTAGGTGTGAGAATCGCACGTTCGCACAGTCACTCTGTGGATTTGCTGTGTAAGTTGTGGACATCTGGAAATATTCTGGTTATTAGGTCGTCAACGGTCGACACAACTAAGGCAAGATCTGGTGGAATTGTAATTTTGCCCTCCGTTTCCAGATATTCTCCGTTTCCTATTTTAAGGAGGAGATCGGAGAATTGTCCAGCGCAAACATTGGCCTTCAAATACACTCGCATGTTTTTCTTAAGGTAAAGTTTTTTGACTAAGGGCCAAAGATTTGAGGCCTTAATTTCGTCAGCTCGAGTTCCCCTCGGCACTATCGGCAGAGTTTGACACAAGTCTCCAGCTAACAACACGGTGACTCCACCCATCATGTTATCGTTCCCTCTGATATCTTTTAGAGTTCTGTTTAGTGCTTCGAAACCCCCTTTATGCGTCATCGTGCTTTCGTTCCAAACTATAAGTTTACAATCGCGCAGCACTCAGGCCGCATTACTCTGTTTTGAAATGTTGCAGAGTGGAGTTTCGACATGGATCATATTTAACGGGAGCTTGAAGGCAGCGTTAGCTGTCTTCCCTCCCTCCAACAGTGTTGCTGCGATTCCTGACGATGCGACAGCTAAGGCGATGCCACAATTACTCCTTACTTTTGCCAATAGCTAATTGATAAGGAAGGTTTTTCCAGTACCACCAGGAGCATCCATAAAAAATATTTTTCTAATTTCTTTCTCAATATTGCCAAGGATCTGCTGATAAACGTAAAGGTGTACATCCACCAGTAACTCCTCATTAGAGGACACCACTTCTCTCAGATTACCGAGGTCATAATTGGTCTCCCTCAGATATTCTCGATTACCGAAGGTTGCTGCAGATCTTTTTGGCTGAGGCAATCCATATTTTGCCAAGTTTTGTCCTGCTTGAGCTAACACTGCATCCTCGATCAATATCAAGCATCTGTTGTACACTTCGTCTATGAGCAGTTGCGCACTATCTTGCAATTCTCTCTCCAGTTGCCGTGTAATATCTTCCAAGAGACTGTCTTTGTATTTCATCCAAAGGCTTAAAGGATCTGAGAGTTGACAGAAAATTTTATCAATGTTAATACATTATTGTAAATAGAGAATCGCACAATGCAGCTTCCTCTAAAGTAGTGTCCCAATGCTTGTCGTCTTCGAGCAATCCAAGAGTCTTACATGCAGACTGAAATGTTGAATGGAGG